AAAAAAAAAAACTGCAGACAGCTCTAATGTTTATCAACAGTGGAATGGACAAACACATTGTGGTACGTCTGCACAATAGGAGAGATACTGTGCAGCAATTGACATGAATTAACTAGAGGTGTATGCCTCGACCCACGTGAATCTCAGGAGTGCAGGAAGTCTAGGGAGTTTCACTCTAAAACTGCTGCCCGTCTTCTAGCCCAAGGACCTTATGATTCACCAGACGCCAAGTATATTCCTAACATGGGCAGTGATGTGGCACGGAAATATTTCTAGGGTGTAAACCTGAGGGCTGATCGAAGGGTTGTCTGCAGATGTTTAAAGCTGCTGGGTGACTCTTGACGCCAATGAAATACCTAAAATCCTTGCCCTCAGGCGGCATCTGGTGGGATGAAGTAACAAATGGAGCGGTACCCTTGACTGGCCTCTGGTGGAAATAGGAGACGGGACGATGGAAATAGACAGTGCCTAGTGGATAAGCCCAGCACAGCGTCTGTTACTAAATGCTAACTGAACAAATGAATACATTTAAGAATTGTGTTGAGCACACTACCAGCTTCCTCAGGGCTACCAGTTCCCTTTCCATCCACCCATTTATTCTTTCCTCCAACATGTGTTGAACACCTACTAGGCGCCTAGCGATATGAGGGTGTGCGACAATGAATGCACTATGGTTCCTGCCCTCAAGTGGCTCACATCTATGGGAAGAGCCAAAGAAGTGCCAAGTGTGTCTTTATTATTGGTTATAAGTGTGTGTGTTTGTGTGTGTGTGCGCGCGCGCGCGCGCGCATATGCAGAAAGGAGTGCAAATAGCACAGAATGATTGGCTAAGTCTTCCCAGAGGGAATAAAGTTTGAGGTGGATCTTAAATGGTGGGGGCGGTGGAGTGACAGGAAGGCACAGGTGGGGCCTTACCACCTGCTGTGAGCGGTTTTGGGACTTGATTCTGTTGACATTGGGGAGTCTTTAGGCACTGGATTTTGGAGGTTTCCCAGGGACTAAACAATACACAAGCTAAGAAAACAAACACTCATGGAGGCACCTGGGTGGCTGAGTCGGTTGAGCATCCTACTCCTGATTTTCCCATCAGGTCCTGATCTCATGGTCATGGGATCGAGCCCTGAGTCGGGCTCCATGCTGAGCAGGGAGGCTGCTTGAGATTCTCTCTCCCTGTGCCCCTCTCCCCAGCTCACTCACTCTCTTTCTGTAATAAATAAAATGAAAAAAAGAATAAAAAAACACTCAGGAAGGAGATTGGCTATTCTAATGAAGAGTATGTGTTTTCAACAACTTCTATATAATTATACAAGTCCATGGATTAAACAGAATGTATTGCTACTTAGGTAATGCTCTGTAAATTAGAAGAGTAACTTGATAAACTAAACAAAATGATAAAAGGGTAACAGCCCAGATGCCTGTTCTATTTCTGTCACACTTTTGTTAACTCAACGTTAATTAAAGCTATAAATGGCTTAAAGATCCGTAATTCCGCACTTCAAGTCCAAATACACTTGAAGATTTCTGTCCCAGTCTTACCCGAAGGACTATGCAAGTCTGTTCCGCCTTCCTTTGAAATGCCAACCTATCTCATCTGTTCCTTTGAAGAACTCTGGGAAGGCAGTATGGTAGAGCAGCAAGGTCAAGGTTTTTTGGAATCAGATAAATCTATAATTAAATTCCATTTATAGTACTTCCCGAATCAAAGGTAGGGAGTTTACTTAAGAGTATTGTTTTTCAAGTTTTCATCTGTATGACTATGATGCCATTATTTCAGAAATGTGAATGCCATTCAGGAATTCAGTTTTATGTTCTTTCTATATTATTGGTTAATTTTTTTCTCTGATGAACGAAAGACTATAAGGTTTTTCTGATCTAGATAGGAGACAATAAAATTTTTGAAGAATACGTAAGGAATTAGTCACTATCAAGAGCAGTTATCTTTTCTAGAGAGTTCTGGAGTTGTATCCTGAAATAGCGTGGGTTGCTTCTTGTAATCAGTGTCTGATTTTATGGTTGGTGTTCGTTCTTCCCAGTTGACCTGTTGGGCTTGTTAAATTGGCGTTCGAACTCCCAGAACATTAAACACAACTTGAAGAAGTTAATGGAGGTGGATGGCAGTGAGATTGTTAAGGTATGTTCATGCTTAGAAACACAGTCACTGTATCCCTAGTTCAACATTTCACATTAAATCAGTGATTAGAAGTATACGACTTGTGGGGCACCTGGGGGACACTTGCTTTTGGCTTAGGTCATGATTCTAGGGTTGTGGGATCAAGTTCTACATCGGGCTCTGAGCTGACAGCTCGAAGCCTGCTTGGGACTCTCTGTCTCTCTCTTTCTCTCCCTCCCTCTGCTCTTCTCCCTCACGTGTATGCAGGCACTCTCTCCAGAAAAAAAAAAA